CCGTAAGCCGGACAAAAAAAATAATAAAGGAACAATTGATTACAGATCTTATTGCAGTGCAGTTAAGAATTTGATTAGTGAAAATCAACATTAAATCAATGAATATATAAAAATTCTTATTTTCATTTTTTATGAAAATGCATCTCGCCTTAGGACACGTGCCTACGGCGATGTAATTAAGAAATTTAAATTTACCAAAATTGACATTCATTAACGTGTGAACTTTTCCATTTCTGAAACATCTGTTCATATGTATATCATATGTTAGACTTCGTAGTGTTTGTTTAAACTTTTCAACATGTCCATTTCTTCACAGATAAGTGACACTGCGAGGTAAAAGTATTTAACAAAGAATATAATTTCTTTTAAATGTAAAATACCATGTTATTCTGTATTGTAATTTGATCGAAATAGTTAATTATCTGCCAAGAAATATTATGTAAGCACGGCAAAATATCAGGTCTGTCGAGGCCTTTGCTTATTATGCAGTTGTAAAGTCTGTTAAACGCCCAATGTATTTTTTGTAAAATACATGTAACAGAGCCTCAAAAATATAGCTTAGCACTTTAAATACTACATTATGTTAGTAATGAATTAATGATTTCTGCTTAAAAGCAAAAAAAAAAAAAAAAAAAAAAAAAGAGTAAGAGAGAGAGAAAAATGTTTATTGTATTCCTTAAAATATAAAGTACTTAGCTGTAATCTGCAAAGGAGTCTCGCATGCAAATTGCAGGTAAAAGAATATACATGTGTAACAGGAAAGAAGAAAATGTATGACTGGACCGGGAATCGAACCTGGGACCCCTGCATCACAATGCAGGTGCTCTACCGACTGAGCCACCCCAGGTCGATATCCACGGCCCAAACCATTACATTCCTCTCTCTTTAAATTGTCTTCGTCCTCGAAAACACGACCCAAGTTCTTATTGCCCGTGGCAGGACTTTCACCTGCAAGTCCAGGGGTGGTCAACGGCACCAAATCTGTAACAGGAAAGGAGAAAATGTTTGGCTGGACCGGGAATCGAACCCGGGAGCCCTGCATCATAGTCAGGTGCTCTACCGACTGAGCTACCCAGGCCGATATCAACCGCCTAAACCATTACACATTTATATTGTCAAATAGTTCTAATATCATTTGTAGAACTATGTTCTATTTTTTTGTAAATCAAAAACAATGATCCGTACATGTATGTATATTCAAACGCTGGACTTATGCCCTACAAATCCACATCAAAACATTTAAAGTATGATATTAAGCACATTTGATTTCAACATCTTGAACATCGGGTATAAATCACACTAATTTTTCAAGGTGAACTTACTAGCGACAATGAAAAAATATATCAAACTAATAGTTTTTTTAAAACCAGTTTGGACAAATTCGTGCACAAATAAAGTAACTGGTTAAATAGCTCTCAGACTCTTATTTTCTGAACTGTAATTATCGTGATAGAACAGACTGGATTTCGATACTGATCATTTTATAATTTTTTGTAATAGAATTGATCAAAATAAACCAAAAATAAATCCATCGATATTAAGGAATAAAATTCGAGTGGAAATGCAAAGTTACTATTAAGATTCTTAAGTAAGAGATAAAAAGTTGGAAACATTGTTGTAGATATGTAAGTAAGCTTAGGGCTAGAAATCGTATGGAAATGAGATTGGGACGAAGTCCATAAATATTATAATCATTGGTACATTGATTACCTGATTGGAAAAAGGTGATATATGCTGGAGTTCATTCAAAGCCTAGGTGGCAAGGTAATGATAAGACATTTATTAATGTACTTTTGTATCCGGGAGTATGAATATCAATAGACTTTTTTGAAATATAAAAATATATAATCTCGTTAGTTGTCTGACTCAATAGAATGTCATTAAGTATGAAAATATTTGCTTATGCTTAAATCATGTACACTTAAAGCTTTTCTAAAGAACAAAAACATTCATAAACAAGGGCTCCGCAAAGCGGAGCATCCCCTCGCAAAGAGCATATCTATAAATCAAGGCAGCATTCGACATCGATTCCGATGCAAATTACGTCACTTCCGTTTTGCACAAGAGAATCTAACACACAAACAAACTAACACACACACACACGCGTTACTATATCCCCTCCTTTGCGAGGGGATAATAATTAAATGTATCATTAGAAAAACACACGCACCGCTGAGAGATGAATCATTTTTCATTATTCACAGACTGTGGAATCCCGGTTGTAGAGGGCGCTGACATGGGTAGTGTGGATAGATGGGATGCTATAGGAATCCGCAGACAGATGCATCTGAAGTGTTACAAAATTATTTACAAGCAAAAAGGATCAGGGCTCCTTGGATGTCCTTCGAATGGTCAATGGATAATAGATCTGACTTGTGGTATAAAATTATTTTACGTAAAAATGACTCTGTCCTATATTGACGAGTTCTAAGGTCAAGAGGGGTTGTTAGTCTATCAGCAATCATTTTTTTTATCTTACTGTTAACAAAAAGAAGATGAGTGTTTTCTTATTAACAGAAATTTTTAATCAAATGACAGAATGCACACATGAACCCAGACACTACGTCTAGGCATTTAATTAATATGTTCAGAAATTGCACTCAGAAATATATGCCATTTTATGTATTAAAAATGTTTTCAGACTCAAAAATATCTTTTAACCGTGTATGTAAAAATGCACAAAATATAAATATGTCTCTAGTTTGCTTCTTTCCCAGAAGTCTTTCCAGAAAAGATACTAAAACTTTTGAATTAATATAAATATTGCTATCAAATCTCTCCCAGAAGTCTTTCCAGGAAAGATACTAAAACCTTTGAATTAATATAAATAACTAGACTTTGACCCGTGCGTGCACGGGTTGACATTGTTATGAATGCATCCATGTGCATATCGGACATTTACAAAATAGATACATCGACACATTCATATTGTAAGGTATTTTTTAAATAAACAATGAATGTGAATATAATTCTGTTTTGTTTTTGGTGTTTGTTTTGTTTTGTTTTTTTTAATTGTTGCGTAACGGCGTAGCGCAGAATGGGTTTGACCAACAGTTAGCTATAAATCAAGTCTTGAGTTCGAATCACGCCGGAGCTTACAAAAATTTCACCCTTCCAAACAAATTTAATAAAAGAAATTATGGATGTTCATTGAAAATATGACAACAGCAAAGAGTTGAGCACACTGCTGATACATATCCAGCAAAGTAATGAAATGAAGAAATGTGCTAAGCTGGTATTTTTACACAATCAGTTATTAAAGTAAAGGTATAAAAGTTTTTGTAACAATTTTAACACTGCAGGTCTCAACTTGTTCAAAATATGACCTCAACAATAAAAGAGTTAAGCACGGCTAATACATATACTTTATATATACACAGGTAATAGACAGGTATATAATCTGTAAAAGACTGTCTGTTTTGATAAAAATTAATGTAATATCCTTGAATTAGTACATAGAAAAAGTTATAAAAATAGAAGCTTAATTGAGAAAAAATAAAAACAAATTGGTAATTTTCAAGTACAAATGATGTTTAAAATATATAAAACAAAAGACAGTATTCTTCCGATTTATCGGTATTAAAGGCCAAAAATTCGAGTCTATAATTTTTATATAGTAGTTATTATTGTAATTTTTAGCGGAAAAAGAATGCCTACTTCACTAAGATGTGATTCTAACTGGAGTTGTAAACCCCCCCCCTTTTCAGTTCCCCTCAAAAAAGCATAAAAGAAAGGAGGGATAAAATAAATCGGGTAGTTACATTAATGTTGCTCCTACGATCATGAGCTTTTTGCCTCCGTTGAGATGGCCAGAGATATAAATAACATATAATAAATGTGTCTCCGAGATGGCGAATAATTACCCACGTGGCCACAATATCACATTTGTATGGATATAAACTCAGAAACAAACATAGGCGTCAGAAGCAAATTGAAAGTGGGGTGGCTATTTGAAAGTTGGGGGGGGGGGGCTAAACCAACGAAAAAAAGTAAGCCCCAATTTTCAATGCCTATATAATGTCTATCTTTGCAAAAAGGGGGGGCTAAGCCCCCCTTGCCCTCCCCCCCGGTTCCGACCCCTATGACAAATACGTGTAAATTTTCATTGGAAATTTGCTAATATTCTGTTCATATATATTACTGATTTCTTATTAGAAAAATTATACAATAGCAAATATATATCTACTTAGTATTTACTTTTGTCTTCTCTGATTTGAACACACTCTCCACCAACGGCTCATACATTCGTGTACGAGAGAGAAACGAACGACAACTCTGCAAGGGAGATTAATTTGAACATCGTGATTTAGCGTGAATGTAATGCGCACGCGCAAGATTGTAAAATCCAAAAAATCCAGATGATTTCCGGAGTTTTTTGAGGAATTTTCGTTGATTATTAATTAGCGAAGCTTAATTGAGAAAAAATAAAAACAAATTGGTAATCTTCAAGTACCAATGATGTTTAAAATATATCAAACAAAAGACAGTACTCTTCCGATTTATCGGTATTAAAGGCCAAAAATTCGAGTCTTTTATTTTAATATAGTAGTATAGATGCTATTAAATCTCTCCCAGAAGTCTTTCCAGGAAAGATACTAAAACGTTTGAATTAATATAAACATTGCTATCAAATCTCTCCCAGAAGCCTTTCCAGGAAAGATACCAAAATTTGAATTCATATAAACATTGCCATCAAAATTCAGTGTCAATGTTCCAAGTTTTCTGTATTATAAATGAATTTTAAATGTCAGTGTCTATGACGAATACATGTAATAAATACATGTATAAAACTTATTTAAATCTGAAATGAAAAATACTTCAAAATAACATGCAGTGGAATTTAGTTTGGGACAGTATTTCAAGAGTAAGATGTTGTGATCTATGGACGTTTTTAGCTTTTTCAAACACTGTTTATCGACAATAATTATCAATGCATAATTCACTAACTATATTGAGCTCTACATATGATGATTCTCCTTTCTCTTGTATATCTCCTAGAATTTCAAGAAGAATGGATACCCTTTAAAGACCATCTTTATTTGGTTGGCAGCAATAAATCTGATTTGAATTCTGCCAAGGTATGTCAAATATTCATATAAAAGATTAAACCTTGAATGCTGTTATCACATAGCTCACTAGTTTTGGTGAATGTATCAATGTTGTAATCAACTGTGGCAAAGTTACATACAGAAAAAGACAAACTAAAACAAGTATTATATCATACACACACTCAGGAAAAAAAAAATCTGGTCATCAATAAATTTTCTTTGTAAAATATTCAAAATTCAAGCAAGGTCAGTGTTGTAATTTAATCAAAGAGCAAAATGCGCCAATAATTTATCCTTTCGACGTCCAGGCAATTCTAGAGCCACTCAGTCGCAACGTAATCAAACGCATGTTGAATTTCGGGTTCAAATAGCAAAGGGTATATTCCTGGAGGACAACTGCAAAGTAATAAACCGAATATATAAAAAAAACCCACATTTTTATATCTCCAGCTTAAAAACGAGTAAAATTTAGTGTATTTTACTATGTATTCCATATAATTTTTGTTATACATTTACGCATTAACACGGTACGGTTTTTCTATATTCGCTAGATTTTTTTTCTAAATGGTTACGCGTAAGTACTCTACGGTGTAGATATTTGAAGTCATCAAAACGATGTTAACGTTTTTTAACGTATTATTCACATGTCAAATATTGTTTATATTACGTTTCAGTACACATATGAAGAAGTTACAAAAACAGCTAAAAGCGCAATGTTTGGTTCTTGGAAGAAAAACGATACCTTATTCCTCCATAAAATTCTCTCTTTATATACATTACGTAATACATATATGAAACATTACGTTTGAATAGATTGAATTTGTTTACCATAGCTTAGTGTGTTACATAAAATATAGAGATTTATAAAAAGATAAACATTTGATCAGTTTTAGTAGATATTTAATATGCGGTCTTTCTAAATATTTGCAAAATATAAATTATGCAAGTTTTAATTTATTTTTTAAAGAAAAACTACGTTTTTCTTTAAAAAAAAATACGCTGCTAAATACCTAGGAGCAGAGAGGAGGATTTTCAAAGAAATTATGCACTTTCACTATATAATCAAAAGAGCCCTCTCCCCCCCCCCCTCCTCACCCTGGGGCCACAAATTTCACAATTTTGAAGAGGCACCCTAGATTATCGCTAGAACTTTCTAAAATGTACAAATACCCCCGCTGGGTTTTTCAAAGAAGGCGATTGCTCATTATATTTTTTTAATGAATGAAACTAACGCGCAGCCTAATAAAACATCAATTCTAAAGATAACATTGTTTTTTATTAGATTGAAATAAATAACAATTTTTCAAGTATTTCTCTCTTGCAAAGTATGGATGCATTATTTATCCATTTTTTCTACAGTGACTATAGGTCAACTAAGATCATGACAAAGACTCAGGTCATAAGCAATCTTTGTGTAAAGTGGAAACTCCAAACATCCCAATATTATTCTCCATAAGAAAGATACGGACCAAACACAAATTATGAACTTTGTCTGTCAGTGACCTTGAACCTGCCCAAATGACCTTGGGTCAAGGTCATAACACACCCTCAGGTCATAGGCAACCAAGTTTATCCATAAGAAAGATATGGACCGGACACGAATTATGATCTTTTTCTTTCAGGAATTTGAACTTCCCTAAATGACCTTGGGTCAAGGTCATGACACACTTTCAGGTCATAAGCAATTTTTGTGTAAAATGGGAACTCATCAAGTTTATCCATAAGAAAGATATGGACTGGACACGAATTATGAACTTTTTCTTACAGTGACCTTGAACTTGCCCAAATGACCTTGAGTTATGTTCAAGACACACCCTTAGGTCATGAACAATCTTTGTGTGAAGTTGTAGATTCTAATGTTCCTCCATAAGAAAGATATGGACCGGACACGTTTGCACAGACAGACGGACGGACAGACAAGGTGATTCCTAAATACCCCCAAACTTTGTTTGCGGGGGGTATGATAACCATTAACCTAGTTTATAGTTTACAGGGGGAGAGAAGACTTTTAAAGAATTTATGCCTTTTTACTATATAATCAACAGAGCCCCACCCTAACTCCAGAACCCCTGACCCCGGGGCCATGAATTTCACAATATTGGTAGAGGCCTCAATGCTCATTACAAGCATGCCAACAGTTTGACTGCTTGATGTCCAGGAGTAAAGAAAAAGATTATAAGGATAGCACTAATTTTGATGGTTTTTAGCCCCACCCCTCAGGCCCCAGGGGGGCAGTGACCATGAAATTCACAAATTTTGCCCCCCTTCACCCATAAATGCCATATGCTAAAATTGGCTGAAATTGGTTCATTGGTTTCATAGAAGAAGCTGAAAATGTTCGACGAACGACGACAGACGAAAACGGATAGTAGTAGGTCACCTGAGTGACTCAGGTGACCTAAAAACTGTAGGCAGACATTCTGCTTTGATATGAATTTTTTTCTCATATGTAACAGTAAAAATGCGTATTCGGGAATTTCATGCATTTCATGAAATTAAGAAAATGTGCGAAATTCCTACCCCGCTTAGGGAACCCATGTATTTACTTTAATCATTTAGGAAATAGTGTATTTACTGAAATTTAATACTTTTTTCACGTTTTTACTGACTGTGTTTTTGATGTGAATCTTGATTTGAAACCAAGAACCATGAATATTGATGGTAGCAGGAAAATATTGAATAGAATAACTTCGAACGCCATACATGTGTTTAAATCAATTATTGTGAATGTCATCTTGATAAATTTCTTGTAAAAGCGCTGTTTTTGAATGCATGCTTCTTTTTAAAATAATTTTTTTACTTGTACTCTAGTATTTTATTTTAAAAAACTGTAGGCAGTCATTCTGCATTGATAAGCATAAAAGTTTTCGATTCAAAATCAGTAAAAAAAAAAAAAAAAAAACTGCAAAATTTTTCAGTAAATTCATGTATTCCTTCGCCCTATCAGTCATTACATACATGTATATTTCCTAGAAGAGCCAGTAAAACATGTATATGTTTTTACTGGCCGGTTTTAGGAATGTGCTAAATTCCCGATTCCACATAATTACTTTAACATATGAGATATTTGCGTTGCTGATACAAAATGATATAATTCCTTCAGCTATATCACAAAAAGAAAGATAAGCATGTCAAGACATCAAACATTCAAGGAAATGTTATTAATTTATTTTTAAAGGGTTCGTAATTGCAGAGGAAATGCCATTTTTGTAATAATCGCTTAAGAGATAATAATAATAAAAAAAAAAACTAATAAACATTTTTACCTATTTATAAGGCACGGGGGATTGTGATTCTCTCAGTACTGGAACTAATACATATAAAAATATGTTATGCCAATTTATATATACCACAAAACCTATTTTCTACCATTCACAATACTGTGATCACTACCTTGTTTCAGTCGCACTGTATATCTCATGGAGGATATTTGGCTGAGATTGAATCAGAGGAAGAGAACAACTGGATAACAGAAACTTTTCTGGTCCCTCTGTATGGTAAGGAAAAACAATAACCCTACACCTAGAAATCAAAATAAGGTATTAACCTTGTTCTCTTTGGAATCAAAACAATCGTGGAAAGATATCATTGTTGCTAGTATTCATCAAAGAAAATTTAGTTATACAGATATACGTGACGAGTTCAACTTATCCTTATTTATGAAGCAATATACCCTCATCACCTGTATATGAATTTTGTGTCTCTCAGTTGTTTCTAGATGCAAGAACACACTTTAAGTACGAACAAGTTCAGAAACAAGACAAGCTATTGACAAGTTGATGAAACGAGAATATCAACAGTCTCGTTTAAAGTCAACATTTTGCAAATTCTATTGTCGAATGTTGACTGACGTTTTTATACAAATTGTTGGGCCATTTTTTTACACAGTAAAATTGTCTACAGATTTTTCCCTTTGCAATTATAACAAGGGACACAAGGCGGGTATAACCGGCCGACAGGAGATGCTTACTCCTCCATGGTACCTGATCCCACCTCTGATGTTTTTAGAGGTCTGTGTTTGCTTTGCTCCTGATTTGTATTGTTTTATAGGACTTTTTAGTTTGATTACTCGTTTTTTCGTTATCTACATTTTTCATTTAAACTCACATACAATATTTAAATAACACCAAAAAAAAAAACGGGCATTCAGAAGAAGTTGCATCGAATTAAAATTGGTAAGAATGTCTAATGAAACATTAAACAAACATTGTTTTCTAATCTACGTATCCTGCCCAACGTTTTTTCTCACTGGATTTTAACCTCAGTGTGTTCCTGGTACCATATGGTTTACCATACAATTAGCATAGTTTTTAGCAGTACTGCGTTTATATTCACTTGCACTTAACTACTCCTTACACATAATTGATGCAACATTACACATAATCAAGTAATACTACACTCAGATATATGCAAGTTACTTTAATGAAAAGATACTCAGCACAGTTAAGGCTACAAAAAAGGAGGCTGGGCCTAATAATATTACAGATAGGTCACAGAGAAAAACAAAACATTTAGAATGAGAAGAGTTTTACGTATGAAAGACAAAGTAAAAAAGACATGGTATTTTCCGAGATATTTATAGCTAAACATGCTCATTTGCACGTGCCTGGACGATCGATAAACGAATTAAGTGTAACCTCCGTTTAAATGTACACAAGTTTCATGACGTCACACGATGTGTTTAGAATACACGTGTTTGCGTTTAGATATGGCCGAGAGAGCTGTCAGTGTTGAAAATTACGTTGAATCAGAGATAACAATGGCACTATGACGAACTCTCGTTGGATTTATCCTCTGGTTCTTCAAGCTTCGATGAAAATATTGAAACCAACCCAAATTCAACTGCACCATTCAGTTTTGAACCGTATGCAAGTGGTTCAGATGAGGAGTCTGATGAACGTGCGGATTACGATGACAGTAACACCAGACTTCAAAATACCGAATGGTAACTCCCTAAATGAATTAATTTACTTATTTTTAGCTAGCTGTGTTTTTTCCCTTCGACAAAATAACACTGTGACTGACTGTAGATCTGGGTTTATATCCCCAGGATCGAGCAATATAAAGTAATGTAATCATGGCGTTATCTTCATTTTCTATACAGGTGCACATGTGGAAACTATAGTAATGCCTACAGCAGCTGAGTGTGTATGCTGTCAGGAAGTGGATAGAGTGCATGCCCTAGTTGAAGAATCAGAAAATGCTATAAATTGTATAACATCTCACCCTGGTTTCAATCCAGCATGTCTAAATGTATATGTTCTGCAAATTGCATATTATCAGTATAGGTAACAATACAATGAAAGTATACCAGATTCCTCAGAGTAAGTTTACCGTATTGTCTTTATTATTTAAATAAATACATGAATATAATTTAAAACGTGCAATAAATAGTACAACATATATTATTAAAAAGTCATGAAATTTCATTTTATAATGTACAGATATACAGCTTATCGACAGCTTGCACGCTAGCATGAGGGTACTTGGAGGAAAATAAGGGTTGTTCTACCCTCATGTGCAGTCACTTGTATAAGAAACACTTTTCCAAGTGAATCAGGACATGATACTGGTTTCAAACCAGGTTAATGATCTTACCTATGCATATTATTACACATGTATGAATGTATGTTGAATATACATTTGTACAATGAACTTTAAATATTTAACAACAGGCAGAAGAATCATCGTCTTCAAAATTATGTGACTGATTAAATATAGACAGTTTCTCTTCAACTGCCTTTGTCTTGTCTGGATGGTGATAGACACTACACAGATGAGGAAGTGCTGGTTGATGCTGGACGACTACGCTAGAATTCATGCTGAATTGAGAGGCCCGTTCCTCAACCGTAGACATCAGTTTCTTTACATAATCTGTACAAAGAAAAAATAATTATAATTTGAAATATTATAGAAGTAAAACAAAAAGATATATGCATTTATGACATGTTTTTTTTCTTACTTTAATTGCTTATACGGTGCATTCCACTGTTACTTCTCCAACTGTGTATTCCCCATTTTTATACCTCCCGCTTGAAAAGTGGGAGGTTATATAGTGATCGGAATGTCCGTCCGTCTGTAACGCTTTGGGGTACCCATTTTTTATCCGCTACTCCTCTTATACCACGGAATGAAATTTAATGAGACTTTCACATAATCTTTGTTACAAAGTGCCATTGTGTAACTCTTATTTTACTTTTTGATCGGACACATATTTTGGGGTTCCCATACTTTCACAGATTCTTTGTTACATATTGTCATTGTGCACCTTTTATTTTATTTTTTGATTTGACACTTATTTCGGGTCTTCCAGAGCAAAACATGGACTTTGCCATTATAAACATATGGGAGGCGGGGGGTATCATTAGTGAGCTCAGTGCTCACAGTACCTCTAGTTGTATTTTTGAAACACAATGTCAAATCTTATCTTCCCTTCTTGGGTTGTGGCCTGATCCCCCATTTTCATTAAAATGGAGAGCAGCAAGTATTAGTCTGTAAGATAGTTTAAGACCATGTATAGAAAAAATAAAAACAAAAAAGTTTTGATATGTTGATTTTCATTAGAAATAATATATACCTTGATAGCATTCCATGGTATGAAAAGCCAATCATCTTTCGTGCAAAGTGATTGACAACTGCATAGAATTCTTCAGGTGCTGCTGTGTAGGAACCAGGTGATAATTTGGGGATATCTTTCTTCATCTGGTTTGAGAAAACCAGCTCTGAAAACTTTTCAGCAGGATTTGATCCTTGTAAATGATAAAACTTAATTTCATATACTGATACAGTTGTGTTTAACAAAAACACAAAAGAAAAACAAAAAACCCTTGCTAATATGTGCTAAATTACCTGGTTCTGATGAGAGGGTGATGCAGACGGATTCGATCTTTTTTTTATTGGACACGGCACATCAACTCTGTGAACTAAATTGCATGGTTTCAATCATTTTTTGCGTCGTTCGATGCCTTCAAAAGGATCATGCGGGCAGGTGTCGTAAAGTTCATCATCATGTTCATGAATATTTTGGACATGATTAGCAACTGATTGCCATTTTTCTAATATCAACTGCCCCTTTCCATCTAGGGTTGATGCAGCAGACCAATATAAATGATTGCATATACTTCTAATCCATCCTTGAAGTTGTTCACACCCTTTTCCCTTAGATCACCTACTCCTCACAATTTCTTACGATACATGTAAGTCTACACAAAAATGAAATAAGTTCCTTTTATAAATGCCAAAAACATCAATTTAACTTTTCTACATGCCATACATCAAAGTGATGGACTGTTTCTGGCATTTCTTCTCAAATGTGTTTCACAATCTGCACATGCCTGTCAGTTATGATCACTTTAAGTTTAATCCCTCTTTCCTGAATATTATTTGTGCTCCTTATTAACTCTTCCTTTTCCATGTGATAACTTTCTACTTCATTGCTCTACAGGTGAAGGATAAATGATCTGAATTCATGAATTTGCAGAAGAATACAAGTCTCTGAGATGACCATTACAAAAGTACCTGTATCAGTTCTACATTAATTACAGGAGAAAGGTCCATGTCCAGCAGAGCATAGCTTCCAAACTTTGCAGAATGTCCGGGAGTATCGGCTCAACCATTCCCTCCAACAGTTAAAGCCACTTTCTTCCATTTTTTCCAAACAGAACAAACTGACTGGTGGAGATAATGCTTCTGGTGTTGGGAAAATGTATTTGCTGTAGTAGTCTGAATATGGAGATCTTTCATAAACCTAAGAACTTTTGATGGTAGTAAGCCTGGAAATTAAAAAAAATTATAGTTGATTTTTTAACCCCTCCCCTATTAAACCAATTAAAATTATACTAGCTGATGTGTTACCTGTAAACAGAATAGCTGCAGATAAAAGTAGATTTCTTGAAGGAATTGACCCAGTCATTGGATGACTGTTCCATACCCTTTGATGTCCACAACTGACACATATTTGCTCAACTTGAACCAAGGACCCTAAAATTTTCTTGACAGCAAATAAGGTCACAGATGAACAAGATGAACAGTAGCGGAATAACTCGAGTAGGTTGGATTCAAATACAATGAATTTTTTTTCATTCCATATTCCTGTACCTTCACTTTTACTGAAAAAACCCCAATAAAATTGAATTATGAACATCTATGTAAGAAAAAGTAAGAAACTCTAATTTTGGTAAAATTCTATCTACCTATTTTCTTCAGAAAATGTGCCTGACAGTGAGTCATCTGACAAGTTAGGCTCATAATCTGAGTCTTTGTTAGGTTCATCTTTGTAACTGGGAGCTGTATAGTTAACATCATCATTAAGATATGATTTTTGTTTCAATTTACGTTTTTTCGCTTTCTTGAAAACTCGAACTCTTCGAAATCCCTCTTACATTGAGTCCAAGCAGTAATAATCTTGGGTCTCTGTCTGATGTCATCTTGAAAGTATGCAAAATGTTGCATATAACACATGAAGTATTTTAGTTTACTCTTTTCTTTCAATTGTGGCTTGACTTTAGAGTATTTTGATCTTCTCAATACTGGTTTCTTGTCAACCTGCATCTCAACTGCCTGGGTCTTACTCTGAAAAAGTGATAATAAACGCCAATATCTAATTTAAGACATTATATTACATTTCTAAAATATTCTGAATTGCATTCAATCTACCTGTTTAGGTTCATCCAGGTTGTTACTTGAGTATGTTCCAGCCTCGACTGATTCAGTATTTTTAAGCTGGCACTGCTTTTGGTCTGGATAACCTTTAAAATTATAAAAGAATTCAAATTTTTATTGCTCACCCCCCCCCCCCAACTTTTAGACAAAAATAATTATAGTTAAAGATTTTAAAAGAAGCTGACTTAAGTACAAAACTTAAGTAAATCAATGCTTTTCCCCACAAAAATAAACAATGAGAAACAATACAACTTACTCTGGTATATTCACGTTTTCTAAAAGCACCTCCCATTTTTTGGTGTTGCGAGGGACGCTCTGAAGCGTTCTGATGAGAGGGTGATGCAGACCGATTCGATCTTTTTTTTTTATTGGACACGGCACATCAACTGTGTGAACTGTGGGTACTACATCTGGTAACAAACTTTTCTTCTTCACTTCAAAACCTACAGATTCTTTGATCGAATATTCCTGAGGATAGTACTTCAAAGGTAAATTATTTTCTCAACGCACGGAGTACTTGGTCGGGTTAATGAAGTATTTTCTTTAAGTTTTCACAAAAGTAATCAACAGTCGCCGAATTTCAATGCGATTTTCTTTCGGAAACTCGTGGAGAGACACATTGTCACGATGGGTTAACGTACAACCCGCCGCTACACAAAACTTTCAAGATATTCTCTTAGAGATTTTGTTAAACACATGCATGGATACACGTGTGACGTCATATCCGGTTTTCTGTTCTTTTTTCTGGAGATCGCACAAGTGTAAATCGCTATTTTTAGCCTTATCTCTGTAGTGCTTTGGAATTTGGGGAAACCACATATACCGCTGTCATCGTTATTTAATATCTATTTTTATCTATTTTACTGACTTGAAAGTTAAAACCTCTAAGGCCTTTCTTTAACAATAACATCACACAAATCTAAAGATTTTTTAATATAACAAAAAATGAAATGATTTTCCCTTTTAAACTGTATGAGAGAATTAAACTAAAATAGATCTTGAAATAACATACTTTTTTGTTGTGAGTTAAGTTCCACATAGCAAAGTACAAACAAGTCATTGATCGCAGTGCACGATATTGCTAATTTTTAAACATTTTTGATGTGTGTTATTCCACGCATATTAATTGTATTGCTTATATGCTAACAAATATGGAACATATTGATTATGTTCATCCTTTTAACCTGCAATTTTGAAGTAGATAATGTGAACGAAATTAAAATAAGTTATATTTATGACTCTTACTATTTAAATTTTATACCTACAATTGTTAATATTGTTTTTTTTATTATAAACAGAAAATAAAAATGTTGACTGGACAGTATCGGTGCTTTGGATTGGTGGACGCTGCACAAGAAAGGACAGGAAATCATGTCTGTGGGAGGAGAGCAATCAAGCATTCTCTTATCATAACTGGCACGAAGGAAACCCAGATGGTGATGGCCCATGTGTATTTCTTGCCAAATCTGGCAAATGGAATGACTTTTCTTGTGATAATCATCGTTTTTACATATGTGAAAAGAATACAGTGTACTCCTGATGAATCGAAATCCCGTTGGCATCGGTTTAGATTTCGTTATAACCGATATTCGTTATATCCGATATCTGCATTTTAAAAGCTGAGAGTTGATCGGCATTTTAATTAAGACTTAATGTACATGTATCATTAAGCATGCTCCCATGTGAAATAACGTTCATATATTTCTGTGAAATACTTTCAAAACGCTAAAGTACTCTTTCTACAGCTTTGGCTGATTTCAATATTACATGACATACATGTAGATTACAATGAGTTACGTAATTCTTCGTGTCGTTTTGATTTTAGTGAGTGTCGCCGTGGTTACTAAAAATAGAAATTCTGTGAAATACTCTCAAAACACTACTCCTCTTACAGTTAGGTCTGATTTTAATATAAAGTAGATTACAATGAAAGTTATAACTGTCTTTAAAGTTGTTTTTTTTTTTTTTTTATAAATGATGTTCGCATGGTTAGGTACATCGAAATTTCTGTAAAATTATTTTACAAGGCTACTCCTCCTTCAGTTTTAATCTGATTGCAATAAATCTTGCCACAAAAACAGACTAAACCAGTCTCATTATTCTATTTATTGCTGTTGCAAAATTTCAAGTCTAAGTGTTACTTCTACTTTGTTATAAGTACAAACCAGAAAAACTTCAGTATCGTCAAAGACTTCTGGTCTTGATTTAATTGCGTAAGTGCATTGTGTTCAAAAAATTGAATTTGTGAAATGCAAAACACTGCTTTTTATAATAAATTTTTAATCAAGGTACATAATTGTACTAACTGATTCTTGACTTTCTGAGTTACCATGGTACTAAAGATAAAAAAATAACTAGATGCTGTCGTAAGACAGTAATACCCGCACGCAAGTGTTTGCCTTTAAATATATTCTTCGTCGCATGGGAGATTGGACTCTCTCAGCGGGACGTGGAGACTGTTCCCTCGGATTAGAAGGTATAAACCGAGGCGCCGTGTAACTGGCACGTAAAAGATGCCTCACTGTTCTAAGGCCTAAGTACCGAGTATAGGTTTAATTTTGCAGCTCTTCATTGGCAAGTGGTAGCGTTTCAATATGAATGAAAAAATTCTCGAAGGGTCATTAAACAAACAAACAAATTTACTCTTCGCAGTACTTGTGTAACTAGCAAAAATACAAATATATAATAAGTTGAATGTACATGATTAAGTGCTGCATTAAATGTAATTAAAATTAAATTAATAGTAAGTATAGGGCATTTAGTGGAGGGGCAGCAGGTGAGCAGAGGTTTTATCTATGTAAGTAAGTAAGTAAGTAAATATTTATTATAGTGACATGTGTATGGTTTTTCAAACAACAAATAGATACAATATAAACGTATATACATTACACCCGGCCCATTGGACCTATATGTCACTTTAATATATGTACAATATTTCCATTTTCAATAAAGATAGCGCACATGACATCAATTTAATTCGTATTAATATTTTTGTCTTTTTGAAAAGCATAAATTTAAAAAATTTGGCAGTTTGTCTTTGATGAGTTTTCATTAAAGTGTTTAAATTTTCAACTGGATCTACATTTCTATTTAAATTAACATTGTGAAAAAAAGTTTCTCCGATATTTTCATAGATTTTACAATGAAATAAGAAATGTTTTTCCATCTTCTACCGATCCGTCTTTACATAAAACACAATAACGTTCTAGTGGCGGTTCATTTCTAAATCGGCCTGTTTCTATTCGTAGCGGAAGGATACCACATCTAAACTGAGCCATTATGGAGCGTTCTTATTTGATCATGTTCATCGTTATGTAAGGTAACATTTCGAAATTATTTTTAAAAGTCACAAATGTTCTCAATTTAGGTAACGACAATATTTCAATTTCCAAAGCTTAAAGCGACAGTGCGGCTGCAATTGTGTGCTTTTTCATTCAAATTTACCCAATATGTCATTAAGAAATAGGTATAAAGTTGACGTAAGCAGTTTGAGAAACAGAAATATTCTCTACTCAAACAAAATTAACGTAATTAGAATCTGCCGGAAAACCAAGGGTCGTACGAACTGGAGCAATCTTAGATCTGTTTATTTGTACCACGTGAATTCTAAAACGGCACGTGCCTACACTGTAGATTTTACAATTATAATGAATATTAGGTAAAAGCAATTTTCAAAAACAAATTATCATAACTTTCTGATAAAATAATCTAAAATGATAATCGTAAAGATTTTAGTCTGCATTCAGGCAAATTTAACAGAATTAAAAGTACAAATGTTGACGTTTTGTGTATTGGGGTCCGAGAAAGGAAAAACCACCAAATCATACGTTATCGCGGCAAATGTGTGACACTACTCGTGATTAAGAAGACTGGTAAAGTTTAAATAACTGCTTTATTAGTACAATCCAAAGTAAACAAAGGTAAGTAAACAAACAAAGGTTTATATCAAAGTCCAAAAGGCACTTAAAGTCTCTCTAAACAACAAGCGTTCTCCAAAGGTCTCGGAGCCAAGGATGGTAAAAGGCTCCCGGAGCCAGGATGTTGAAAGGCTGCTGATACCAAGTGCGCACCAGGTTTTATACTGGAGGGTACAGAACAAGTGTCACATATTTGGAAACAGGAATCAGATCACATCTTAATGAATATTTAGTTCATCTTAATTGTTCCTCCCACCAAAGCGTTCTTGGGTAGTTTTAATTAGCATGTTATTGTCATTTCCATATCGGAGAGGATCATGTGTGATCTATGTCCAGCCCACTAGATGCGTAGGAGATATCATATCGTTACCAGATGCTGGTCAGTAGAGTGGTCAGCGCATTCTTGGACATTGTTCGATTAATTAGAAGTACACATCAGTTTCTATTCTTGGCCCTCTCAGCGTGTAGTAGATAATTAGTACACGGTAGTAGTGTCCATTACCAATTAGTGTCTTAGAATGAAAGCGCACTTAAGTATGAACAGATCATAAACATAATCTTCATAAGAATATAAGATAAATAGTGAATATTATTTACAATAATAATTAATAAATTTAATATTTAAATTTATACTGTCATTGTGTTACAAATGTCAAACAAAATATTTTTCTGCACAGTTAAAAAAATTAGCATTTCAAATGGCAACAATGTTTATAAGTCAAAGGTGTATTTTTATGTTGAGTTTACACTATTTTTTTTCTTTGAAAGCGATGGAAAAATGAGAAATTATAAGAAGTATCAACAAACCTGTCGAATAGAACCTTCGAGAGCTCTGCCTGAGTGTCGCCGAGTTCCCATTTCTTCCTTATCCAACGATTATATTAATCCCCAAATTAAATTTTAGTCAGGAAAGTTGCTTTTTCAAGTTCTATTTTCAGTTTCTTTTTATTTTTGGTCGACTTCGTCAATGTAGCAGACCTACCGGGCTTCCCTCTCTAACCATGCTGTTTTGTTTACGAAAACTACGCATGCGTGCATAGCATGGAATGTAGAACCCCGAACACGTTGCGATGTATATATTTACGTCCCATAAATAACTATTAATTTTAATGAAATAATCCAAATTATCTAATTGTAAAAGTTGTAATTTTCTGAAAGTTTATACATTTAATTATGAGTAGTAAAAAAATTCCAAATCTTCTCGGAAAATTTTTATCTAGTCCGTTTTTTTATGAGATGCGCCGTACTGTCACTTTAAAAAAAATTACATTTGGCTTGATTTATATCACATATACGGAGGAAATCAAAATGAGTGCTCATATCTAATTCATATAGAATTTCTTTCATTTGCGAACACCATGTTCCATTATTTTGATAACTCCAGAAGAAAACTTTTTTGGTGAGTCTGTCATCGTCCATTTCAATTAATCTGTTCCATCTTCTAATCATGTTGATCCAGCGCCTGTGGTATCCAGCCAACTTCACTGTTTAATGCGATTGCGGGTGCGCATCTATGTAGTCCTAAAAAATATCGAATAGCACGATTTTGTACAACTTCTAAAGAATGATATGTTTTGAACCCCCAAACCCCGGAACAATAATCTAAAATAGGAAGGACACAAGATTGAAAAAACTTTTCGTAGGTATTAAGTCCGACATCTTTATAATAATGATTTTTTGAAATCATTGACCCCAATGCTCTCCCTCCTGCTTTACCAAGAGTTTCTGCCGCTCTATTGAAATCCATCTTCTCGTGAAAGATTATACCAAGATATCGGTATTGATTAACATACTGTAATTCTTCTTCTCCTATTTTGAACTTGTATTGACTTTGAGGAATGTGGCGTTTTCTAAAGTGCATGACATTTTATTTGGCACAATTCACATTTAATCTCCACCGTTTACACCAGTTGTTAAGAGTATCAAGACATTTTTGCATATCTGATTCATTTTCACTGAGAATGGCAATATCGTCAGCATATAATAAAAGACTTATCTTTTGATCACCAATAGAAATTCCTCTATTCAGTTGTGAAATTTCTGTTGCTAAAAGGAAAGGGAGAATAGGGTGGGTGATAAGTTGTCTACCTGACGTACACCGTTAGGACATTCAAACCAATTTGTGCGAAAGTCATTTACACATACACAAGAGAATGTTTCAGAATATAAACTGGAAATAGCATTATATATTGGACCATTGACTCCATTTAACTGAAGTTTGTACTGTAAAAGATCTCTGTTCACAAAATCAAACGCTTTGTGAAGATCAATGAATGTAACGAAGGTAGATTTACGATCTTGTATTAGATTGGCTAGGGTAAATATGTGGTTTTCACAAGATCTGTTGCGACGGAATCCGTTCTGTGTGTCGGAGAGTATTCCATTATCTTCTAGGTATTGCTGTGTTCTGTTGTTTAAGACTGAACTGTAGCATTTCGTAACGACTGATAATAAGCTGATTCCTCTGTAGTTCAAAGGTATTCTTATATCAATTGTAGCGCCTTTTGGAATCGGACGTATTAAAGCTTTCCTCCAAATAGAAGGGACTCTACCAGTTTCAAAACAGAACATAAATAACACATGCTATGAATAAAGCACCAGCTAAGCCTCACTTTGGGCATATTTCCTCGGTATGATTTTCAAAAGTAAGGAGGTGATTTCTGATTATACTCATGCAT